TGCATACTAAATATTAAATTATTAAATATTAATTAGGGTTAAAGGACAAAGTATCTAAAATTGGCTTTAATATACTCCAACTGAGAAAAAGAGAGAGAAGAGAAAAACACAAACTTTAAGCCTAACTTCAATGGCTCATGTCTGTAATCCTAGTTATTGAGGAAGAAGCTAACCCAGGCAGACAAATCTGTGAGACCCTTATCTCCAACTAACCAGAAGTGAAGTGAGCAAAAAGTATAAGTAAGACCATGAGACCCTGAGTTTTAGACTCAGTACTGACACACACAAAAAAAAGTAAAATAAACTTTTAAAAGTATGGAATAATGCTGATTATGACTGTGTCAGGTGACAATTCAGTCTACTTTTGATTACATTTCTAACTTCTTATGAGGTTTAATTGATATAGAAACAAGTAATTTTCTTTGTGCCAGTTTTGGGGCTTGAACTAAGGGCCTTGGCATTCTCCCAGAGCTTTTTTGCTCAAGGTTAATGCTCTATTTGAGCCACAGTTCCATTTCTGGCTTTTCTGGTGGTTGATTGCAGGTAACAGCCTCATGGACTTGCTTGCCCAGACTGGCTTTGAACTATGATCCTCAGATCTCAGTCTCCTGAGTAGCTAAGATTACAGGCTGAGCCACCAGTACAGTTAAACAAGTAACTTTTATGGGTATTGACATGTATAATACATCCACCACTCTTCAGCCTATTTTTCTGAATCATATTCTTGCCTAGTTGTGCAAATTCCTTCAGTTGTTACTAAGGAGATAGTTTTAGACCAAGTCTTTTGGCTGAACACTGCCATCTGTTTTCATCCATTAGTCATATAAATTGAAAACTAGAACTACAGAATGAACACTAACATTCTGATTAAAATTTGTACTTTAGAAAAGTATTAGGCATTAATACTATTGGAACTATAAAACTTTCATGACCAGGTAATTTTCTACTAGTGCTCCACCATTTGAGCCATGCATTCTGGCACCCAAGTAATTTTAGTAGGTTAAATCATTATTTTTTTTTCCTGACAGTAATTAACAAAATATTTATAAGTTGCCTTATTGTGATCTTATGTTAATAAGTATATAAATTATGTCTTCTCTCAGGGAGAACATTCATAGGTAATTTGTCCTAAAAACATGATGATCTCCTAACTAATTCTATTTCTGTTTTAAAATAAAACTCCAGCTAAACTTTTTTTTTTTTTGGTCAATCTTGGGGCTTGAACTTTGGACCAGAGCGCTCTCTCAGCTCTTCAGCTCAAGGCTAGCGCTCTACCACTTGAGCCACAGCACCTACCTCCAGTTGTTTCTGCTTATGTGCTGTTGAGGAATCGATCCCAGGGCCTCATGCATGGAGGCAAGCACTCCAACACTGAGCGACCTTCCCAGCCACATCTGAATATATTATATACTCAAATATCAAACACATATTTCATGAAGTGCTTCAAAGGCAAATTTTTCTTATATTGCTTTAATCCTAGAAGTATCCTAAAATAAAAAGTTTGGGATAAACTCCTAGATCAACAGACATGACATTTCAAAGGAAGATACTACCTAGTCCTCAAATATGCCCCTATCTCTTCGACCCTCCTGTCCATGTTCTACTTAAAAAACAGAAACAAACACAGTGGTAGGACTTTCTGACACTGCATGCTACCTTGTGTATTATGGATATATTTGTTGCCTATCTCCCCCTGCTGGACTATTCAAGGGCCAGAAACTGTGTGCATTGTCTCATTGATACCAAGTATAGCTCCTGGCACAGAATAATACATTCAATTAATCTCCTTCTACCTGATGAGCCCTATTCTTTTATTTTCAGAAATTAATCTTACAAATAGAAATTCTTCTTATTAAGCAATGGATTGTATTATGCAATAAAACAATGTATAATTATGTTCCTCCAGAAAGCTGACTATTTCATACAGTCGTTCCTCTCAGCTTACAGGTTCTAAAGATAACCAGGATTTATTTTTTTTTTATTTATTTTTATTTTTTTGTCGGTCGTGGGGCCTGAACTCTGGGTCTAGGCACTGTCCCTCAGCTCTTCAGCTCAAGGCTAACGCTCTACCACTTGAGCCACAGCGCCGCTTCCGGCTTTTTCTGCTTATGTGGGGCTAAGGAATCGAACCCAGGGCCTCATACAATTCAAGGCAAGCATTCTACCACTGAGCCACCTTCTCAGCCCCCAACCAGGATTTTTTTGGTCGGTCGTGGGGCTTGAACTTTGAGCTTGGGCGCTGTCCCTCAGCTCTTCAGTTCAAGGCGAGCGCTCTACCACTTGAGCTACAGCGCCACTTCCAGTTTTCTGGTGGTTTATTGGAGATAGGAGTCTCACAGTCTCTCCTGCCCGGGCTGGCTTTGAACCGCGATCCTTAGATCTCAGCCTCCTGAGTAGCTAGGATTACAGGCGTGAGCCACCAGCACCCGGCAACCAGGATTTTTTTTTAAGAAAAAAAAAAAACTACTTGTTTCTACTTATAGACTAATTTATTGTTACCAATACTTATTTTTAATTATTATTAAGGAGCTATCTTAAAGGAGTTACAATCCCATAAATCAGGTAATGATACAATGTTACTTGGACAATGTCTCACCTTCCTTTGCTTCCCCCATTTTTCCCCTTTCACTCTGCCCATTATTGCATAGTTCATTTTTTACATAGTGTATATTGAATTGAATACTATTTCTTATAGGCTAGATCTGTTGGTGTTGAGGCTATTGTTGTGATTTTTAACTTTTGTAAGTCTGAAGAAGTCTTTATACTTTGCTCATTGAGCAAGCTTTTTAAAAATCCTCTAAAATCCTTTCTTTCCCTTTTCATGCCATTGTGACAGTTCAGGTGGTGACATGGATGAGGCTAGTTCATGAACTCTGACAATAGCTTGCAAACTGGTGTTATCATCCATCTCAGTCCCTTCCAAGTTCATCCTGGTCAAGCTTACTTTGAAAAAAAAATTATAAGCTGAATGTAATTATGACATTCTCTCTTCTTTCTGAAAAATATTTATTTCGTGCTGGTTTGGAGCTTGAAGTCAGGGCCTGGATATTGTTTCTTAGCTTTCCTGATAAGGGTGGTGCTCTAAATATTGGGTCACAGCTTCATTTCCAGCTTTTTGCTGGTTAACAGGAGATAGACTCTTTCACTTTCCTGCCCAGTCTGGCTTTGAACTGTAAGCCAAAGATCTCTTTTTCCTATGAAACTAGGGTTACAGGCATGAGCTACCAGTTCCCAACCCTGTAAAATATTCTAAACGGTTACTAATACTTGTAGGATGAGATCCACAATCCCTGACATACTAGTAAGGGGCTTAACGTTTTTGTTCACTTTCTTCTTGACAATTGACAGTGTATCGTTACCCTTGTATCCTTACTGAATAACTTGTGAAATAGTACAATGTTTACACGTGAAAAAATAGCTGAGAAAAACAGCAATATTAGGAACTTGAAACTGGCAGAAGCAGAATTTGAACCCAAAGAAGGTGTCCAATTCAAACATCTGACCCTACAAAACCAATGTTACACCCCTTCCCACTCCTCCTCAAGTTTCCTTCCTCATCACATTTGCAACTTCATCCTTTTTATTTTAACCTCTAGCAATTTGCTTTCAGGATCATCAGATGTCTAAATAAACATGAATCTTACTATTGCTACATAGTGCAATTTCTTCATTATACAGCCTTAGCCCATAATGAACACCTTGCCATGCTGCAGCATGCAACAAGGCTGCGATCTACCCCACTAACACTGGCTACCAGTTAGCAGAGTAGGGCCCATCTTACTCCAGTATGACCTCATTTTACTTAGCCTGGAAAGACCCTAATTTAAAATAATGTCATGTTCCCGAGGGCAAGTATTTTAGACATCAAGTAAAACTTAAGCACATCAACTAAATGTTGGTGTTCACAGATCTGCCCTTGAGCCTCTCTTCTCATCCTGCAGCTCTGGAAGCCTCTCTAACTTCCATACAGACAGGAGGAACCTGATGTTTAGTGAATTTTTTTTTTTTCATAAAAGGCTGGGGTGTGACTCAAGTGATGAGAGTCAGCCTAGCAAGTGCAAGGCCCTGAGTTCAAACTCTAGTCACACACACACACACACACACACACACACACACACACACACACACACACAGAGTGGAGGAGAAGGGAAGAGACGAAAAAAGGGGGATATTTTCAAAGAAAACGTAAAGTAGCCAACAGTCCATGGTCATGATGGACCCCCAGTATTCGAGCAGAGACACTGGCACCTTCCCTCAATGTGCATGACTGGTTGTAAACCGCTCCTGGTTCCACGGTCCTTCCGTTAAACTAGACATTTCCAGATGCTACTTTACCTGCCTTGTTGTTGTTTTTTTCTGAACCCCTGCAGCAATGTCTATCAAATAAAGGGTCGTCTGCTCACATTACTATGAACGCGCCTAACGTCTAGCTCTACACCTGCAGCGTGAGCATAGGCTCTGAGGGCACCGGGAAAGCTAACGTCTCCGAGCTTCGGTTCCCGCAGGTACGAAGTTCAGCACTCCCGGTATTTATCACGTGGAGTAAACAGCAGGCAAGTGGACCGACTCGGCATCTTCGGCCGCAGGGTGCCCGCAGCCCAGGCTTCCGAGCGGCGCCCCTCTCAGCAACCCCGTCCGGCGGACAGCGGCTGGCGCGCGACGTAGGGCGCGCAGGCGCCGCCGGAGGGCGCGCCAGCGCCAACCCGGAAGTTGGCCTCGCCCCTGTAAGGTCGTCCTACGTGCCTGATCGCCTCGGACGCCGCCCTCTCGCCTCAGCGCATCCCTGCACTCCTGACTCATACCCTCGGCCTCGTCCTCGTCTCATACTTTTCTCATCCCTTCCAGAACCTGGAGCACCCGCGCGGATCTGGGCGCGCCGCGGAGTGAGGCACCGGCCAGGACAGCCCGGGTCCTTGCCGTGGCCACGCGAGGACCCCCCCCCCCCCCCCTCTCTCCGCGGGTCGCCGCCGCCGCCGCCCACACCTCGCCCGCCTCGGAACCCCGGCCCCGCCCCCAGCCCGCCTCCATCCCGGGAACCGGAGGCCCCGGGGTTGTGGTCCCGCGACCTCCCTCCCGCCGTGCCCTCGTCTCTCCGACCGCGATGCCGCTCTACGAGGGCCTGGGGAGCGGTGGCGAGAAGACGGCCGTCGTGATCGACCTCGGAGAGGCCTTCACCAAGTGAGTGGCCGCGGGCCCCCGGAGAGCGCGGCCGGCCGGGCCCGGGCCCTGCTCCTCGGCGGGCTCGGCGGCGGGGGCCTCTCCTCTCGACACCCCCCACCCCCAGCGCATCCGCAGCGTCCGGTGGTGCGGTGCGGGGTCTGGCTGCCCGGAGAGGCCCCGGAAGCTCCCGAAGGCTTGCCTCCGCCGCCGCCTCGGGGCCTTCCCCGAACCCAGCCCCGGGGGGACCGCGGCCACCCCGACCCCGCTCCCGCGGGGCAGGACCCTAGCTGCAGTGTGTAAAGCGCGTGTAGGGCGGAGGCGCGGCTCCTGGTCTTGGAAGTCGGGTTAGAGAGACCGGCAGCACCGGGAGGAAACCCTAGCGCTTTCGACTCTGGTCTGGCGTCCTTAAACTCGGGTTACATCGTACACTTGGAACGAGCAACTGGTAAACACAGGAGTAGTGTTTCTCAGCGTTTTTGGATGGCAGAGATCTTTGGAAGCCACAAATGTAAAAAAAACCTAAATTAAAGCATACCTACAGTTTCCAGGGATTGGCAGACTTAAACCTTGGGGTCTTTGGACCGCCGTCTTTGTTACTGGGCTCAAGGGAATGAAGCAACAGGCAGCATTACTTCTTACACGTATGCGAGATAAAATAAATATTTGAGAAAACCTTTACATATTGAAAACACTAGACAACTATTGAATAAGTGGTCAAAAGAACGAACTGCTTAAAATGTGGTACTAAACTACAGAATTGGGGCTAGAGACATGGCTCAGTGGTAGAGCACCTACATAGTAAGTTGCAAAGCCTTGAGTTCTAAACTCCAGTATCAACTTAAAAAAAAACAAACCTATATAATTGGGTTAAACACAGTGTGTGTTGTGTGTGTGTGTGTGTGTGTGTGTGTGTGTGTGTGTGTGTCTTGTGACTTGAACACAAGGTTTACATGCTTATCCTTGAACTCTTTTTTTTGCTCAAGACTAGCACTCTACCACTTGAGCCACAGCTCCATTTCTGACTTTTTAGGTAGTTGGAGATTATAGAGTCTCAAGGACTCTCCTGTCCCAGCTGGCTTGCAACCAAACCATGATCCTCAGATTTCAGCCTCTGAAAACCTAGGATTACAGGCATGAGTCACTGGCTCCACTAAACAAAAATTTTCCTCCGTATGCCCTCCTATTTAAGACAAGCCTTCATTAATTCATATTTTCTTATGTGTCTTAATTTTTTAAAAAAACCTCAAATACCTTAAGACTACTACTCTATACAGATAGCTATTTTGCCTGTACATTGAAAAAAATAAGCAAAATTTATTCCATCAGAATATGATGATTAACAACACAGCAGGGGGCTGTGAAGTGGCTCAGTGGTAAAGCGTTTACCTTGCATGCATGAGGCCCTAGGTTCTATTCCTCAGCAGCACATAAGCAGAAAAGGCTGGGAGTGGTGCTGTGGCTCAAGTGGTAGAGCGCTAGCCTTGACCACAGAGACTCAGGGACAGTGCACAGATCCTGAGTTCAAGCCCAAGGACTGGCAAAAAAAAAGCTCAAGTGCAAATAAACATGGAGATGGAAATAGCAAAAGGCAAAGAGAATATATTTGGGCATAGGAGAAGAACAGAACCACAAACTGAACAGAGGAGATGACATTAATATTAAACTATGTGCCAGGCACTGGTGGCTCACACCTGTAGTTTAGCTTCTCAGGAGGCTGAGATGTGAGGATATGAAGTTAGAAGCCAGCCCAAGGAGGAAAGGCTGTTAGACTCATCTCCTTAACCACCAGAATACCAGAAGTGGCTCCGTGTCTTAAAAGTGGTAGAGCACTAGCTGTGAGCAAAAGAGCTCAGGTACTGCACCCAGGCCCTGAATTCAAGCCCCATTACCCATAAAAGAAAAAGACTAAACGAAGGGGTTGAAGGCATGGCTCAGTTGGTAGTACACTAGCCATGAGGTCTGATCTTGGACAAAGAAAAGGGGCTGGGAAGGTGGCTTAGTGGTAGAGTGCTTGCCTTGCATGCATGAAGCCCTGGGTTCAATTCCTCAGCACCACATAAGCAGAAAAAGTTGGAAGTGGTGCTGTAGCTCAAGTGGTGAGCGCCCAGACCCAGAGTTCAGGCCCATGACTGACAAAAGAAAAAAGAAAAGAAAAAGACTAACATTGTAATCATTTTTAGAAATATAACTAGCAGTTTTTTTCTAACATGAAACAAAAAATGGCCAAAATTGGATTAAAATATTGTGGTTTTGAAAATAACAGCAATTGCTATTAGTATGATCATATTAATACACACTCATATTAATAGACCTAATGTAAGCATTTGAGTTCAGCGTATAGAAGGTGTTTTTTAATGGTCAAATATGCATAAGCTAGAAAATAGACTGAAAGGTAATTTGGAGGCTATTAATATTAGAATGACTAGAATTGAGTTACTAACTTGAATTATAATTCAAGTGGTCTGGCATTGACTATATGTTAGTATTTGGTGTATGACTAAGTAGGTATGGCTAAGTAGGAATGATTCAGTTACAAATATACAACCATGTTTCCTTTATATATTTAGGTACACAGATACCATGTGTTACAGTTTTCTGTAGTATTCAGTATAGTAACATGCTGTGAAGGTTGGTAGCTTAGTAGCAATAAGCTACTAAGTGAAGCAGGCTGTGCTGTTTAGGTTTATGTAAGTTCGCTCTTAGGAGGTCTAATGACTAAGTCGTGTACCAACACATTTGTGCAGATGTGTATGGGTGAAGTCACATACTTGGTACAGAGGGTTACAGAAATTCATCTAAAATTACCCAAAATTTATCTAAAATTAAAACCTAAGGAAAAGTAAAGCCTGTCTTAAATGATAGTCTGACTTATTTCAGAGTCACAAATTTGAAATAATTTGATTTTTTTCTTTAATATCTAGCTTATTAAGATGTTACTTATTTCTTAGGGCTTTGTTGTTGTTTTTTAGTTTTTTAGTTTTTGGTACCTTTGCATAGAACTATTTTCAGATGTTTTTGTTTCTATTGTTTTGAAACAAATACAGAACAACTTGTTTCTCTGTCAAATATTTAGAAAGAATGCTATACTTTGACTTTTAATTTTCTACTTATTTGCAGGTGTGGATTTGCTGGTGAAACTGGCCCAAGATGTATAATTCCTAGTGTGATAAAAAGAGTTGGCATGCCTAAGGTATTTTTTAAACTTTTTTTTTTTTGTCAGTTGTGGGGCCTGAACTCAGGGCCTGGACACTGTCCCTGAGCTCTTCAGTTGAAGGCTACCACTCTACCACTTGAGCCACAGCGCCATTTCTGGCTTATTCTGCATATGTGGTACTGAGGAATCGAACCCAGGGCCTCATGCATGTAAAGCAAGCACTCTACCATTGAGCCACTTTCCCAGCCCTTAAACAAATTTTAAACAGCCATTATTGGAGGGACATTGAAGCCTCAGGCCCTTACACGAGGGAAGCGAGACCCTCTCCTAAAAATAACAAGTGAAAAACAGGGCTGGAATCATATCTCAGTGGTATCCTGATAGCCTAGGAAGCATGAGGGCCTGAGTTCAAACCCATAGTACTAAACCAGGTGCCAGTGGTTCACACCTGTAATCCTAGCTAATCAAGAGGCTGAGATCTGAGGATCCGAGGTTAGAAGCCAACCCAAGCAGGAAAGGCTGTGAGACTCTTTATCTCCTGTGAACCTCCTAAATGCCAGAAGTGGAGCTGTAGCTCAAGTGGCAGAGTGTTGGCCTTGAGTGAAAAGCTAAAGGAAAGTATCCAAGCCCTGAGTTCAAGTACCAGTACTGACACAAGAAAAAAAGTAAATACATATTGTAGAGCCAGTACATCAAGTTATAATTGTCAGTAGAACATACTAGAAATTGTTTGAATTGCGCTTGATTAGGGAAATATTTTATTATTTTCAAAAGTATCTGCAACAGGGGGCTGGGAAGGTACCTCAGTGGTAGAGCGCTTGCCTTGCATGCCTGAGACCCTGGGTTCGATTCCTCAGCACCACATAAGCAAAAAGAAAAAAGCCGGAAGCGGTGCTGTGGCTCAAGTGGTAGAACGCTAGCCTTGAGCTGAAGAGCTGAGGGACAGCACCCAGGCCCAGAGTTCATGCCCCACGACCGGACCCAAAAAAAAAAAAAAACCATCTGCAACATATTAAACAAACTAGAAATAAAGGAGATGTGTGTAGTGCAGTATTCAGAGTGTGATGGAAGTTCCTGTTTATTTTTTATGTCACTTGGCTTTATAAAAGTTGTCATTACTATGTCCCTCAATAGACTGACTGAACTCTACCTTTACGTTTTCATCAACAGCCTCTTAATGTCCTGAGCTTTTACTATTTTGAAAAGTCAAACATATATGAAGATTACCTCTATTCATTTATATGTAGTTTAGAACCCTCCTTAAGACACATAAAGTCAACACATGAGCCTTACTGATGGTCTTTCCTTTCAAAGAGTACATTAAGAGAGGTTTGCTATTGATACATGAGAGAACTTGAAGCTTAGCTTCTGAGACTGAGTGAAGCCCTTGTGATGGAGTGCTAATGTTGCACAGTTCTGTAGTGTTTGTACATGCTGCGTTAGTGCTAATAGTGTTCTCAACTTTACCACACCTTAGTGAACAACCTACCCTTCGAGCTTACAGCTTTACAGTAAGATACACATTTTTCCAAGTAATTGAAGGTGGTATTGTGGCAAAAATGAAGGTATCAGTGCTTAGGGAGTGATGAGTAGGTACTGAAACAAGTCTAGAGTATTTGATGCTTTTAAATTAGTGCTGACTTTTTATCATCAATTATACCAAAATGAATAATATCTATAAACACAGCTCTGTACTTATTTACAGATTCATATTACCACCAGCCAAAATACTTCCATGTTTTTAGAGATTGCCAGGTCTTAAAGATTCATAATTTAAGAGATAAGTCTATATTTAATTTTTACATCTGTCCTTAATACAGACTGCCTTTCATTTAGTATGAGAAAATACATTTATGACATAAAAGAGCATATTTAATTTTAATTTGATATTAATATAATTATTAAACATAATTTTAATTTTTACAGCCTATCAAAGTTGTCCAATATAATATTAATACAGAAGAATTATATTCCTACCTAAAGGAATTCATCCACCTACTCTACTTCAGGTAAGATGCAATTATGTTTAGCTGGGTTCTCTTTCTAGATTTTGCAGTTAGCTTTTTCTTATGCCACTTATAGTGATTTTGGCTATTATGTTACATCTGAGGAGAGGGAAAAAATGTTGAAGAGCTCAGTGACATTGACTAAGCCCAGAACTCAAGCCCCATAACCGATCAAAAAAACAAAAAAATAGATTTGAAGCCGGGTGCTGGTGGCTCACACCTGTAATCCTAGCTACTCAGGAGGCTGAGATCTGAGAATCGCGGTTCAAAGCCAGCCCGGGCAGGAGAGACCGTGAGACTCCTATCTCCAATAAACCACCAGAAAACTGGAAGTGGAGCTGTAGCTCAAGTGGTAGAGCGCTCGCCTTGAGCTGAAGAGCTGAGGGACAGTGCCCAGGCCCAGAGTTCAAGCCCCACAGCCGACAAAAAAAAAAAAAAAAAAAAAATAGATTTGAAAACTGGAAAATAGGCAAGCATAAGAAAATAGTGATAAAAATCACTATTTGAGTATAATATCATGCAATCATTAAAAAGGAGCTGTGGAAGCCAGAATGTTTAGCTCTATGTTAGAGCACTTGCCTAGCATGTACAAAGCCAGGGGTTCAGTCTTCAGCACCAAAAAGAAAAAAAATGAGGAGGGAAGATTCCATGTTTGGATGTAGTAGATCAGTCTATTGACAATTGAAAAGGGAATATTGAGAAACAGCTGATACAGAATGAAATGTTCAAAATGTGCATGCACATCAACAAGAATAAAAAAGTACACAAACTGCAATCAGTCATTTCTGGGCAGTAGAAGTATTAGCTCTTAGTGCTTTCCAAGTTAAGGTCTTTAACATTGGGAGTTTGGTGAATGTATATTACTTGTATAAAAACCTCAAAAGTAAAATCATCTTTTTAATAGCTATCATTAATGATCATAATAGGCTGCCATTTTCTTGTCTGACATAATGTGTCTGAATAAAGTTCTTGGCATAGTACTGTGGCACATTGTAAGAACTGAGAAATGTAATTTTTCTGAGGTACTAAGATAGAAATATCTATGTCATAAAGCATCTTAGGCTAAGTTAGTATAATCTTTTTTTTTCTTAAATTGGATTACTTACCAAAATAGGTACAAACTGTAATTTTTACTCTTAAAAAATAAAATTACTGTTTTTCAGGCATCTGTTAGTGAATCCCAGAGACCGCCGAGTCGTAGTGATTGAGTCGGTACTATGTCCTTCCCACTTCAGAGAGACACTCACTCGTGTTCTTTTCAAATATTTTGAGGTACCTATTTATTTATTCATTTTTGTTGGTTGTGGGGCTTGAACTCTGGGCCTAGGAACTGTCCCTCAGCTCAAGGCAAGCGCTCTGCCACTTGAGCCACAGCGTTACTTCGGTTTTCTGGTTGTTTATTGGAGATAAGAGTCTCATAGACTTTCCTGCTCAGGCTGGCTTTGAACCTCAATCCTCAGATCTCAGTCTCCTGAGTACCTAGGATTACAGGTGTGAGCCACCAGCACCTGGCTCTGAGGTACATATTTGTAAATCAAATTAATCAATTGTTTCTAATTGGAGAGAAAGTTGTGATTACAGCTCGGTGGTAGAGTGCTTGCTAGCATGTGTAAATTCCTGATTCAATCCTCAGCACTGAAAAAAAAAGTCAATAGAGTATTAAGCACTAAAAGTCTTATAGATTAGGTTTTAGGGGAATCTTCCCCTCATCACGCATAACTTTTTTATGTGTATGTGTGTGGGAAGTGGGGCTTGAACTCAGGACCTCATACTCTTGCTTAGCTTTTTCATTCAAAGCTCCACATTCACTTTCAGCTTTTTGATAATTGAAGTTAAGAGTCTCTTATTTGTCTGCCTATATTGGCTTTCAATCTGGATCTTCAGATTTCAGCCTTCTGACAAGCTAGGATTGGATTACAGATGTGAGTCACTCACTGGTGGTGGTTGGCCTGAGTTACTTATATCAAGTTTTTTAGTTTGGGAATTTTTCTTTAAATAATTAAAAGATATATTCAGTGGAGTAGAATTTATGGCATACTTCTAAGTCTAGGAGTAGTTTCTGTGTTTTAATTATACTGTCTGTTTTGACAGACATGCATTTTACATTTTGCGTTTCTTTGTTTCTTTTTGTGCCCATTTGGGGGCTCAAACTCAGGGCCTGGGCGTAGTCCCTAAGCTTTTGCACTCAAGGCTAGCATTCTACCACTTGAGCCACAGCTCCACTTCTGGGGGTATGTTTTGGAGATGGGGCTCACCAACTTTCTTGCCCAGGCTGACTTTGAACTGTGATCCTCAGATCTCAACCTCCTAAGTAGCCAGATTACAAGTGTGAGCCACAAGTGCACGATTTTTAAATTTCTTTTAAATGGAGTTATCTCTTTCCCCCCACCTTCCTCCTCTTTACAAATTTGAACAAGGGGTCTGTCTCTTACTCAGGTTATGCTTGCTTAGCTGGTGTACTATCACTTGAGTCACAACTCCAGCCTGGCTTTTTACTGGTTATTTTGGAAATGGAATTTCATGACTTTTCTGCCAATCATGATTATTTGAATATCAGCCTCCTGAATAGTTAGGATTACAGGTGTGAGCCACTAGCCCCATGCCTAAATGGAGTATTTAAACACTGTCTCTCAGAGTGAGTATTCTCAGGAATGAGACTTACCTCTTGATATTAGTAATATTACTTGTATATTTCAGTCTGTAGGAGTCAAGCTATTTTAAAGATCAAGAATAAGATTGAGCCAGGTCTATAATCTTAGCTGTTTGGGAGGCTGAAATCTGAGGATCACAGTTTATAGCCAGTGATAAGAGCCTGTCATCCCAGCTATGCAAGAAAGCACAAATAGGATGATTACTGTCCAGACCAGACATAGCCTAGGCCAGCCTGAGCATAAATGTAGACTATCTCAAGAATAAACAATAAAAATGGCTAGTAGAGTGGTTTAAGCTCCTGTCTAGCAAGCACAAGGCCCTGAGTCCATCTCTCAGTAGTGGGGGTGGGGGATTAGGGCAAGGAAGAGTGAGTGCTTGCTTAGTATGTATAAGGCATGCGGTTCAATCCCCAGTACCCAGTGGGCAAGGGTGGGAAACATGTCATCTCTGATCTGATTGAAGGAGATTGTCTGTCCTGCTCATGTCTTTATGTCCTATGTGACTACTTTACCTGGTATATCTCCTTTGGAAAAGTGTGGCTCCTTGTTAGCCATTTGATTTTGATAAACTTTAATATTCTGTTTGGATCTCTGACATTTGAAGTGTCACAGATCTAGCAAATTGTCACTGAAAATAGTTTCACATAATACAAATTTTCATAGTTCTGTTCTTTAAATAGCTATACTATGGTGTTTTAAAATACAGTTTGCATTACAAACTTTGCAAATAAAGGCAATCATGAATATTTTTTTCAGCCTGACACTGGTGGCTCACACCTGAAAACTTAGCTACTCAGGAGACTGAGATCTGAGAATTTCAGTTCAAAGCCACCCCAGGCAGAAAAGTCCATGAGACTCTTCTCTCCAATTGACCACCAAGAAACTCGAAGTGGAACTGTGGCTCAAAGTGGTAGAGCACTGGCCTTGAACAAAAGAGCTCAGGAACAGCATCCAGGCCCTGAGTTCAAGCCCCATGGCCTATAAAACATTTTTTTTTTGCAATGTCATTTCTCTAAATTTACGTTTCTGGATCTCAGTTCTTTTCAGTTTTCTGTTCCAAAAGGGAAAAAACAAACACTGATAAAAAGTGCCTCCAGATTCTCATTTTGGAATGAAATGACTTAGTTTAAACTTAGCCTTATATGTGTTATATAATATCTTAAGTATTGAATAAATTCATATAAATAAGTGAACTAATTCTGAACTTAATGCTGCCTATGAATTTTTTCAAATGTATTTGAGTCAGGGCAACCACCTTCAGATAAGTGGCACGCACTCATTGTGCTTCTGTCACTGTGTTCTAGGTTCCGTCGGTTTTGCTTGCTCCCAGTCATCTGATGGCTCTTCTGACACTTGGCATCAACTCAGCCATGGTCCTGGATTGCGGATATAGGGAAAGCCTCGTGTTACCTGTATCTTTCTTGTCAACTAGCCAAATAGTTTATTTTACTCTAAGAAAAATTAGCAGATTTACTACAAATAATATTTATTGGATTGAACTATTGTGAGTTTTTATGATCATATAAATGATCACATGATAACATTCATAGTTGTACAAGACTTGTATTTACTTCAGTGCAGAGATTATCATTGTTATTTATCTTAAGATATATTCTAGCAATGACCTAGTAAGTATGTTCAGAATTCAGGAGGCACCTGAGCTAATTAGGATGTGTCAAGTTGATCAGAATAGTTCAGTTCTAAGAAAAGTTAATACAGGAGTAATTGGAAAAACTGAAATGAAAAAGTTCAACCAAGAAAAAGGTTTTAAATGTCAGGATTATTAACATAGCCTTAAAGCAGCTGAAATAAAGGTGCACCATAGAAAAGCAAATACCACCTATGCGGTGGCTAACAGCTGAAGTCCTAGCTGCTCAGGAGGCTGAGATCTGAGGATCGCAGTTCAAAGCCAGCCCAGGCAGGAAAGTCTATAAGATTCTTATGTCCAATAAAACTACCAAAGAGCCAGAAGTGGAGCTGTGGCTCAAGTGGTAGAGCATTCACCTTGAGCAAAGGAATCTCAGGGACAATGGCCAGGCCCAGAGTTCAAGCCCCAGGACCAGAAAAAAGGCTCAGGGACAGTGTCCTGAGTTCAATTCCTAGGACTGGCACAGAGCAAAAAAGAAAAAGACCAAGTGAATTCTCTTTTTCCTTTGTGTCCAGATAGTCACAAAGACAGTATATATTAGGTTTATGAGCTCTTTTTCTAGTCAGATGCACAGTAAGAGCACATCTTTTTTTTAAAAAGTTATATTTACAAGGAGTTGCCATTCAACAAAGCAGTTTATGAATAAAATGCATCTCAATCAATACCCATCTTTTTAATTAATGTCTTCTAAATTTGATGTGTGGGTTTTAGCATATTTCAGTTTTAAGTATTCAAACTTCAAACACCCATATCACTAGTAGCTTATTTTATTAGATCCCTAGTCCTAATTAATGAAGAAAGAGAGTAAGAGAGAGCATACATGCATGCATGTGCATGAACGTGAGTATATGTGTGTGAGAGAGATTATTTCCTTTGGTAAAGAATATGAACAACACTTGCCCTTTGTTTCTTCTGTAACTTAAACATAAAAAATAAGAATTCAGGGCTGGGAAGGTGGCTCAGTGGTAGAGCACTTGCCTTACGTGCATGAGATCCTGGGTTCGATTCCTCTGCACCACATCACCACATAAGCAGAAAAAAAAAAAAAGCCAGAAGTGGTGCTATGGCTCAAGTGGTAGAGTGCTAGCCTGGAGCTGAAGAGCTGAGGGACAGCGCCCAGGCAACCATATTTGATCTGAAATAGTGACGTCCTTGACTCCTCCATGGATATATGAAGGAATTCCAGTACTGAACTGTTGGGGAGCACTGCCCCTAGGAGGAAAAGCTCTTCACAAGTAAGTGTCCTGGATTCCAGCTCATTCTCCTCACCAGTGCCACAAAAGCAGATGCGAATCTGTTTGCTGACTGGTGATTAGTAGAAGACTTGTCATGCATCCCATTCTTCTTACTAGTTTTGAGTGTATTTGTTCTTTCACAATAATGTTATTTAATGCATCATACATAACGAAAATATTAAGAAAAGGATACCATTTTGCAGTACTTTAATTTCAGTAACATTTTCACATTTCAGGGAGTTGGAAACTCAACTGTTGGAACAATGCACTGTTGACACGGGTGCTGCTAAAGAACAGAGCCTTCCTTCTGTCATGGGTAAATTCACTTTTAGCTGTTTAAGAGCTTAAAATGTTTTCACGTCTTAACTTGTATTTTAGTATTTGGTCTATTACATTGTTATTCTCATTTTTCCTTCATAACTTTGATGATCTTGCTCCACTTATAAGGTCATCATGGAGCTATCAAATCACCAAATTCAGGTTTTGTCCATCAGTCATTCTTTCCAAAATGGTAAATGTGTTGGGTTATCTTACATTTGAAATTCTTTCTCCTTTGCTTTCAGAACTCTCTTCTATTTTGGTGTTCTGTTGTTTCTGAACATTCCCCCTGGATTTCTTCTGCTCTTGTTTTCTATTCCATGTTCTAGGGATCTGGCTTTGTTCCTTCTTTTCCTAATGGCTTTTTGTTTTTGTTTTTGTTTTTGTGCTGGTTCCAGTGTGCTCTATCACTGAAGCCACAGCTCTACTTCCAGCTTTTTCTGGTAGTTAAATGGAGAGAAGAGTCTTAGATTTTCTTGCTTGGGCTGGCTTTGAACAGTGATCCTCAGATCTCAACGTCCTGAGTAGGTAGGATTATAGCATGAGCACCAGCACTTGGCCCTACTGGTTTTTTGTTTTTTGTGTTTTTTTTTGGCCAGTCCTGTGGCTTGAACTCAGGGCCTGGGCACTGTCCCTGAGCTTCTTTTGTTCAAAGCTAGCACTCCACCACTTGAGCCACAATACCACTTTCTGCTTTTTCTGTGTATATTGTACTAGGGAATTGAACCCAGGGCTTCAGGCATGGTAGGCAAGCACTCTACCATTAAGACACATTCCCAGCCCCTACTGGCTTTTTTTTTTTTGCTCTGGTTTGGTTTTTTTGTTGCTGTTGTTGATGGTCGTGGGGCCTGAACTCTGGGCCTGGGCACTGTCCCTCAGCTCCTCAGCTCAAGGTTAGTATTCCACCACTTGAGCCACAGCGCCACTTCCATATTTTTTCTGCTTATGTGGTACTGAGGAATCAAACCCAGGGCCCCATGCATGCAAAGCAAGCACTCTACCACTGAGCCACCTTCCCAGCCTCCCTACTGGCTTTTTAAAGGTGATCTTAAACTCCCTTGATGTCAGCTACATGTTCATGCTATTGATTCTCCACTGTATCACCGAGCCTGATCTTTTTTCTGAACTTGGTATTCCTAATTTGAGATAGAAATCATGCATGTCACCTGGACCTCAAAGTTAACACTCCAGAAAAGTGAACAAATGCTCTCTCCCCTCTTCTTAATTTGGTTACTAATTATTAGATAATGATACTATTTTCTTCCTTATCTTTCATTTAGAAAAGTAGGAGTTAGCATGTACTTTGAATTCCTCTCAGAAATCTTTCTCATCTCACCTCTTTTTTTATCTTCCATACCATTGGGCTAGAAACAAAGACATTGTTTTAATCTAATCCCCTATTATTTCTTCCTTGCCTTATTACAGGATCCTGCTCTCTGAACTGATTCTCTTCAGTTTTATTTCAGCTACCATTTTATTTTATAGTCTTCTGTACTTGGGCTTGAATTCAGGGCCTTGCTCTCTTACCTGGCTTTTTTGCACAAGGCTATATCTCTACTACTGAGTCATATTTTCACATTCATCTTTTCAGTTATTTATTAACTGAATGAGAGCCCATCTTAACCAATAAAAAAATAAAGCTGGTGCAGTGATATGTGTCTGACATATCAGCTACTTAGGAAGCATAAATATCGAGGCTGAACACCGGTGGCTCATGCCTGTAATCCTAACTATTCTGGAGGCTGAGATCTGAGGATCATGGTTCAAAGCCAGCCCAGGCAGGAAACTCTTATCTCCAATAAACCTCTAAAAACCAAGAAGTGGTGCTGTGGCTCAAGTGGTGGAGCACCCGCCTTGAGCTGAAGAGTGCAGGGAAAGCACCCTGGCCCAGAGTTCAAGCCCCACGACCGACAAAAAAAAAAAAAAAAAAGATCAAGGTCCTAGCAGGCCCAGGCCAGACTTGAATAAAAGCAAAAGGAATGGAATTAAGGTGGTAAGATGCCTGCCTGGCAACTACAAAGCCCTGAGTTCAAATCTCAGCAACCTCCTAAAAATTAATAATTTTTGTTTACTTTTTGCTAGGGTTGTCTCTATTACTTATATATATCCCCAGCCTTCTCTTACATTTTAGAGATTTTAGTGTTACAAAGGTCATGAGTATGTACAGCTATAGCACTTAATGTACTCCTAGGTTCTTCTTTTGTATTAGACTTTTAAAAATTTTTAGTAGAACTTTTTTAGTGTTTTGCTGAAATAAAACAATGAAAATAATGAGTATATCTTTACTTATGACAGTTCTTTAATTCTTAATAAAATTTTTGTTTTAGGTTCAGTTCCAGAAGGCATCTTAGAGGATATTAAAGGTAATGAAGTTCACTAAATTTCATTCTATAGTGGTAGTTCAAATATTATCTGTTTTTTATGTTTTTTAAATACACAGAAAATGTACTTATAACCTAAAAATGTTTAATTCATAGATGATAGAAAAATAAAATTAAAGTTCTGATTTTTCTTTAGACATATAAAGCACTGGAATTTTATCATTATTTATTAATTTTTTTTTTTTTTTTGTCGGTCGTGGGGCTTGAACTCTGGGCCTGGGCGCTGTCCCTCAGCTCTTCAGCTCAAGGCGAGCGCTCTACCACTTGAGCTACAGCGCCACTTCCGGTTTTCTGGTGGTTTATTGGAGATAAGAGTCTCACGGTCTCTCCTGCCCGGGCTGGCTTTGAACCGCGATCCTCAGATCTCAGCCTCCTGAGTAGCTAGGATTACAGGCGTGAGCCACCAGCGCCCGGCTATTTATTAATTTTTTTTCCCACTTTGCCCTGGGGCTTGAACTCAGGGCCTGGGAGCTATCCCTGAGCTCTTTTGCACAAGGCTAGCACACTGCCATTTTGAGCCACAGCTCTACTTCTGGTTTTCTGGTGGTTAATTGGAGATAAGAGTCTTGCAAACTTTCCTGCCCAGGCTGGCTTGGAACCACTATTCTCAGACCTCAGCCTCCTGAGTAGGATTATAGACTGGAGCTACAGTGCATTGGAATTATTCATGATATGCTATTGAAGCAACTTCTCAATTATGTGGAAAAAATATGCAGTCATGGTGGCCAGAAGCTCATGCTTGTATTCCTAGCTACTTAAGAAGCTCCAATCAACCACCAAAAAAGTGGAAGTGGAGCTGTATTCAAGTAGTAACTGTTCTTTATTGCTCTTATATTGCTTACATGTATGTTATAATTATCTAAAACATTTTCAATTGCTATTAAATATTAGCCATTTGCTCTGCTTATTGCCAAGCTTAAATAGTGGAAATATGGCAAGTAAAGGGAATAGTTTTTCTTCCTCTTTTCCAGTCTCATGCTTTCTGAAATATCAGTAATTGACCATGCAGAGTGTTTATTTTCCCATTTTTCAGCAAAATACTACATTAGCAAAAATTTGAAAGATAGATATTCAGTATTGGTGAGATTGTGGGAAAATGAAGTCTTATTATGTCAAATGAGAATTGAAAACCTTTCTGGAAAACAATTTGGCCTATTTATTAAAATTGAAAGTACTTACCTCATCTAAAAGGAGGGAATATATTAATTGAAGTCTCATTACTTCATAATAAGAAAGTTTCATGCCATGTGTGTATTTTCAAAAAGGAGCTAAGCCAAACACTAGTGGTTCACGTCTATAATCCTCTCAATTACTCATGAGGATGAGATCTGGAGAACCCTGTTTCAAAGCCAGAAGAATCCTCAAGAATCTATCTCCAAGTAACCCCCCAAAATACTGGTCTGGATGTGAGGCTCAAATAGTAGAGTCAAAGGCTTCAGCACACACACGGAGTTCTGTAAAATTATTTCATAATACATAGATGACTAATGCTATACAAATCAGCCAAGTTATATAAATTTGCATTCAGTATCAATTTTTGTCTTTATCAAATTTTTTTGGGGGAGTGCCAGTTCGGGGACTTGAACTCAGAGCCTGGCGCTGTGCCTGAGCTTTTTTGCTCAAGGTTAGCAAGCAATCACGTGAGCCACAGTTCCCCTTTAAGCTTTTTTGGTAGTTAATTGGAGATAAGGATCTCAAGACTTTTTTGCCTGGGCTGGTTTCAAACTTTTTTGCCTGGGCTGGTTTCAAACCTCTGTCCTCGGGTCTCAGCCTCCTGAGTAGCTAGGATTTATAGGCATGAGTCACTGGCACCCAGCTTGCTTCTTTTAAAATACAAACAAAAAAGCTTTCTTATTTTTATTTTTTGGCAGTTTGAAGGTTTGATCTCAGGTCCTCACACTTGCTAGGCAGACACTCTATCACTTGAGCTCCAGCCTTACTTTTTTGCTGTTTATTTGGAGATGGAGTCCCATGAACTTTTCTGTCTGGTCTAATCTCAAACTTCACTCCTCCATACCTCAGCCTCCTGAATAGCAAGGGTATAGGCATGAGCCACCAGTACCTAACTACCAATCAAGATTTTTCAAAAAGAATTAGAGGAGAGAGAGAAATCTAGTTTTTAAAACAAACAAAAAACCCTTGATATTGAATTAGAAGCACTCCATTTTGTGATGCTATTTTTTTTTTCCAGTCCTGGGGCTCAAACTCAGGACTTGGGCTGTCTCTGGGCCTCTCTCTGCTCAATGCTAGCACTCTACCACTTGAGCCACAGCACCATTTCTGGTTTTTTCTATTTATGTGGTACTGAGGAATCAAACCCAGGGCTTCATGCATGCTAGGCAAACACTGTATCACTAAGCCACATTGCTAGCCCCGCTAATTTACTTTTTTGCTCTACTTCTTATATGAAAGTTACCTACCAATATAATAGTTTCCTCAAGGGGGATTTTTGTAAACATTTTTAGAGAAGGTGAGCACTTAAGTAACATGTCCACTGAGTAGAATTGTAGCCAAATGTAGGCTTACTGTTCAATTAATGTCAAACCATAATGGGGTTTCTTTTCTCTCTTTTAAGTGCGTACTTGCTTTGTAAGTGATCTGAAGCGTGGATTAGAAATACAAGCAGCAAAATTTAACATTGATGGAAATAATGAGGTAAGTTAGAACACATAAGCATGCCTTTTTCAGAGTTTACAATGTTATAGACTTAACACTCATGGTATTTTCATTTCAGCGTCCCACACCACCCCCAAATGTTGATTATCCATTAGATGGAGAGAAGATTTTACATATCCTTGGATCAATCAGGTTAGACCTTAATTTTTATGAGGAAAAAGTGAACTAAAATATATTCTTGGCTTTTCAGAATATTTGTATAAGCCTTTACTTCAATACTAGCAACTTAATATCAGTGTTTTTCATTACACTTTCTTATTTTCATCAAAAATTCATTCAGCTTTTTAAAAGGTTTTTTTCTCTGTTCATCAGAGTAGTTCTAAATGAGCTTAACAAAACAATTTTTTCAAGCAGACCAGGAAGTAAGATGCTTTAAACCAGATAGGAATAAATTTTCTGTACAAGACCCAGTAGTGGGCTCATATTGTCTCTGCAGTTATTCATCTCTAGAGTCAGAGCCCAAAACTATCTATATATAGTATCTAAAGGAATGAACATGGCTATGTTCCAATAAAGCTTTATTTGCAAAAACTGGTGGAGGCTGTTCCATTCATAGGATGTAATTTTCTATGCTCACCACTATACCACCAATGCAGGATGTAATTTTCTGGTTTGTGCCTTACAACTTTGTTTTGATAAAAAGATTATATTATTTCAAATATACTCAATTTCCAGGATCGTTGATTATTCACTTTTTATTATTCACTAGGTTATTCTTTCTGATAATGTAGAGCTTACAAAACAACATAACTTGTCCTTAAAGATTTATAATTATATTGGTAACAATATAATTTTTGTTTCTAACTTACCTTTATGACAGTTTCCTTTGTAAAAGACCAGGAAGTAGAAAAATATGTAACATATTAAGCATCTCTTTAGATCTGTGTGTATATGTGCTGTGTGTGCTGGTGCTGGGGCTTGAACTCAGAGCCTCAAAATTTTACTAGGCTTTTCTGCGCAAGGCTGGCATTCTTCAGCTGAGCCATGCCTCTAGTTTGCCATTTGTGGATTAGTTGAAGATGGAGTTCCAGACTTTCCTGCTGTTGCTGGCTTCAAACCTTGATCCACAGATCTCAATGTTCTGGGAAGCCAGCAAAATAGTTTTCTTAATTTTTTTTTTTAATAGTTCTCCTAATTTTTTATGTGTGTGTGCCATTTCTGGGACTTGAAATTAGGGCCTGGGGGTTCTCCCTAAGCTTTAATGCTCAAGGCTAACAGTTGTTAGCCTTCCGATTTTCTTGTGGTTAATTAAAGGTAACAGTCTCACAGCCTTTTATTCCTGGGCTGGCTTCACACCATGATTCTCGATCTCAACCTCCTGAGTAGCTAGTATTGCAGGCATGAGCCACTAGTACCTGGCTCAGAGTTTTCTTAATTTGAAAACAAGAAAATGAATATCTTAGTAGTCAACTAGCCATCTTTGTTATTTATTCTTTTTATTTATTTAAAAAAAATTTTTTTTGTTGTTGTTGTTGGTCTCGGGGCTTGAACTCTGGGCTTGGGCGCAGTCCCTGCGCTCTTCAGTGCAAGGCCAGCACTCTACCGCTTGAGCTACATCACCACTTCCGGTTTTCTAGTGGTTTATTGGAGATAAGAGTCTCACGGACTTTCCTGCCCGGGCTGGCTTTGAACCTCGATCCTCAGATCTCAGCCTCCTAAGTAGCTAGGATTACAGGTGTGAGCCACCAGTGCCCGGCTTCTTTTTATTTCTTTTTATTTATTTCATTTTTTTTCTTGGTCATGGGGCCTGAACTCTGGGCCTGGGCACTGTCCCTCAGTTCCTCAGCTCAGCGCTAGCTTTCTACCACTTGAGCCACAGTGCCACTGCTGGCTTTTTCTGCTTATGTTGTGTTGAGGAATCAAACCCAGGGCCTCATGCATGCAAGGCAAGCACTCTACCACTGAGCCACCTTCCCAGCCCTATTTATTCTTTTTAAAAACAGAACTATAGAAGGATTTTTATTGTTTTTAAACCCCTATATCACTGTCTTGTTTGCTTGTTCTGTCTTAGTTTTACCAAATACTGTTTTTGTTATTGGATGTGGAGTGATAAAATTGGACACAAAATATATGTAAATCTCTACATAAAAATAATAGTAGGCCTGGCGCCAGTGACTCACTTCTGTAATCCTAACTACTTAGAAGGCTGAGATTTGAGGATCACAGGTCAAAGCCAGCCCAAGCAGGAAAGTCTGTGAGACTCTTATCTCCAGTTAACCACCAGAAAACAGAAGTGGCACTGTGGCTCAAGTGGTAGAGCACTTGCCTTGAGCTGAAGAGCTGAGGGACAGTGCCCAGGCCCAGAGTTCAAGCGCTATGACCAATAATAATAATGGTAGTAGTAGTAGTAGTAGCTAATACATCGGGAATGCTACTTTGTGTACCAGATGTTATACTACTAACTCGTTGAATCCTCACCTCAATCTGTGGGAGGCAGGTACTCCTGACTACCCCACTTATGAACGCGAACAGCTCATGTTGTGATAAGCATTATGTAGTGAGCTGGAGACATCGCTCGAGTGAAGCCTAGTTCAAACTACAGTACTATCACATCCAGACATGCATGTATACGGAAACACACTGTAGTAACGTAGCACTAATACTTTATAATACTGACAGTATGACTACAAATTATTCTGTATCATGTAATGCCAATCAAGTGCTCTCTCTTTAATCTCATCAGAGATTCAGTTGTGGAAATTCTTTTTGAACAAGATAATGAAGAGAAATCAGTTGCCACTTTAATATTGGATTCCCTTCTACAGGTATTTGTAGAAAAGTTTCTTGTTATCCCAAAAGTTCTTTAAAGAAAATTTAAATGTTATTTTCTCTATTTTCCTTGTCATATTATTTGTAAGAACAAAGAAGTGTAGGTAGTTTTTTTTCTTGTTTTCATCTCTCATGTCACTGTTCCTTTTTTGATGTTTTACTCATTTTGGTTTATTAAATTTTATAGTTAATTTTGCATACCTATGATTCTAGCATTTAGAAGGTTAAACAGGAAACCTCTGATTTTCAGACCAGACTGGGACATGTACATAGCAAGACTCTTTCTCAAAGAACAAAAAAAAAACTAAAAAAAAAAAATGGGGAAAGGGACTGGGAAGGTGGCTCAGTGGTAGAGCGCTTGCCTTGCATGCATGAGGCCCTGGGTTCGATTCCTCAGCATCACATAAGCAAAAAGAAAAAAGCCCGAAGTGGCGCTGTGGCTCAAGTGGTAGAGCGCTAGCCTTGAGCTGAAGAGCTGAGGGACAGCACCCAGGCTCAGAGTTCAGGCCCCATGACCAGACCCCCCCCAAAAAAAAAAATAAAATAAAGAAAAAGAAAAATGGCAGTTGATGAGTTTTATTTTGGCACTGAGATATGAAACTTACAATAGTTCAAACCACCTGGGTGCCAGTGGCTTATGCCTGTAATTCTAGCTACTCAAGCGGCTGAACTTAGGGCCTGGGAGCTACTCAGGAGCTCTGGTCATGGTTCAAAGCCAGCCTAGGCAGAAAAGTCTGTGAGACTCTTATCTCCAATTAACCCCCAGAAAACCATAAGTTGTGCTGTGGCTCAAAGTGGTAAGAGTGCCAGCCTTGAACAGAGAAGCTCAGGGACAATGGCTAGGCCCTGAGTTTAAGCCTCACAACCAACAAAAATAAATAAATAAAAAGCAAACATTATGAATACCATGGACAAATGAAATCCATTCAGAACAGTAGTACTGTATTTAATTTTCTGTGGTGTGGCTTGTGGTTTCTTCAAATTCAGGTTTTGGGAAATACTGTTTTTTTGTTTTTTGTTTTTGTTGTTGTTTTTTGTCGGTCATGGGGCTTGAACTCTGGGCCTGGGTGCTGTCCCTCAGCTCTTCAGCTCAAGGCTAGCACCTTACCACTTGAGCAACAGTACCAATTCTGGCTTTTTCTTCTTATGTGGTGCTGAGGAATCGAACCCAGGGCCTCATGCATGCGAGGCAAGCACTCTACCACTGAGCCAACTTCCCAGCCCAGAATACTGGTTTATTTATTTATTTATTTATTTTTTTTTGGTCCGGTAGTGGGGCCTGAACTCTGGGCCTGGGCACTATCCCTCAGCGCTTCAGCTCAAGGCTAGCGCTCTACCACTTGAGCCACAGCACCACTTCCAGTATTTTTCTTTTTGCTTATGTGGTGCTGAGGAATTGAACCCAGGGCCTCAGGCATGCAAGGCAAGCGCTCTACCACTGAGCCACCTTCCTAGCCCAGAATACTGGTTTTTAAATAGCCTAGGGCATATGGTATTGGGGTCTTTGTTCAATGACTAAATCATCATCATAGAGTTCCATCTAAAATAGTATTGCTGTAGACAGTACCGTGAGCCTATCGGACAGCCCTTGGTGATGGGCCTTAACCTTCCCTAAATTTTAGAGACAGCCAGTGTGGACACATGCTTTCTCTAAGAGTGTTCTAGAATGTGAGTGTATTCTGGCTGCCTGTCTCCCCATTGATCGCCAGCGTCATTTGGTTGGTCTCATTGCTTGGCAGGTGCCCCCTTCCTCCCTAACCATCCCATAGGGGAGGACTCTTCCAGGCTATATGAGTAGCTGTACTCACCTGATTGACCCTCCCAGCTAGCTCCTAGAGTATTATCTTCTCACTCAGCACCTAGCTGTGTGTGTAATAAAATGATAATAACACGTTAGAAATTAAGTATTACATGCTTTCCTTACTAAAGACTTTTTTTTCTCATGCTTTTTGCCCAGCTTAAGCGTTCTGCTTGAAAAATAGGAACATTCAAATTTACTGTCTGACATGTGGTCTGCAGAATTTAAAAATATCTCTATTATTTGATGTTAAACTAATTTAAAATAAAGTTATTTTAAAATCTTTTAAGTGTTATGTATATTTATGGAAGTAACAGTATTGTCAAGGTATTATATTTGCTACATGAAAGAAACTTTTCATGTGTTTTGTAACACAAATAATGACCTATTTAGTCTGTAGTACATGCTTCTGTGTACTTTCTTAAATCTAATCAAACAGTATTTATCTCATAGTCCAACTTAAAATAAACTTTTCTTTTACTTCTTTTTTTAATAACAGTGCCCAATAGACACCAGGAAACAACTAGCTGAGAATTTGGTAATCATAGGTGGCACATCCATGTTGCCAGGATTTCTGCACAGGTTGCTTGCAGAAATAAGGTATTTGATAGAAAAACCAAAATACAAAAAGACACTTGGAACCAAGACATTCCGAATTCATACACCACCTGCGAAAGCTAATTGCGTGGCCTGGTTGGGAGGTAAGAACTTAGTATTTTAAATATAATAATTATATAGTAATTAGTTATTGAATGGTATTACTAATGGATGTATTAAAATTTACTGTTCAGCCGGGCGCTGGTGGCTCACGCCTGTAATCCTAGCTACTCAAGGCTGAGATCTGAGGATCGCGGTTCAAAGCCAGCCCGGGCAGGAGAGACCGTGAGACTCCTATCTCCAATAAACCACCAGAAAACCGGAAGTGGCGCTGTACCTCAAGTGGTAGAGCGCTCGCCTTGAGCTGAAGAGCTGAGGGACAGCGCCCAGGCCCAGAGTTCAAGCCCCATGACTGACAAAAAAAAAAGAAAAAAAAATTTACTGTTCAAAATTGTCCACTTAAATACAACTGTAGCTGGGCACTGGTGGCTTGCACCTGTAATCCTAGCTACTGAGGAGGCTGGAATTTGAGGATCATGGTTCAAAGCCAGCCCAGGCAGGAAAGTCCATGAGATTCTTATCTCCAATTGAGCACCAAAAAAAAATGGAAGTAGAGCTGTGGCTCAAAATGGTAGAGCACTAGCCTTGAGCAGAAAAGTTCAGGGTAGCACCCAGGCCCTGAGTTGAAGCCCCACAACGAACAAAAAGAAAAAGAAGAAAAATAGAATTGTAAGCAATGCATGATAGTGCCCACAAAGAATCCCAGCACCCAGGAGGTTGAGGCGGAAGATCATGTGTTCAAGGCCAGCTTGGACTATGTAGGGTGACTGTTTCAAAAAATAAAAAAACAAAAAATAAGTAACAAAAACCTATTAATTTTCTTTGAACATTGAATAAAGTGTTCTAAAGAGGGGGACCATTGTTAGGATAAAGTTAACACTGTTTTGAAGGGTAACTTCATTGGATGAAGTTTACTTAACAATACAAATGCCAGAAGAAATGGGCACATTATTTTGAAAATACAGTTTTAAGAATGTTTATTTTATTTTACTTTATTTATTGTTGCCTGGGCACTCTTTGTAAGCCTCTACCATTTGAGCCACAGCGCCATTATGGCTTTTTCTGAGTGAGTTAGTGGAGGTAAAAGTCTCACGGACTTTCCTTCCAGGGTTGGCTTCAAACCACAATCCTTAGATCTCAGCCTCCAGAGTAGCTAGGGTTATAGGCATGGGCCACTGGTACCTGGCTTAGAACACTTATTTTAATATTGAGTCTCATGAAAATTGGTCTCTTTATAATTACTTTGTGACTGAGTTTATTGAGTGTTGTAAGAAATGATGGTTTTACAATCTAAGCAAATGGCCCAGAAAGTAACTACTTTTAAAAAAAACAAAAAACAACAGCCATGACTTTGTATACTTGTATACATTCTGTTATACATTACTAAGTAGGACCAATACATTAAGGAAGAAAAACAAAATATGAGGATTTTTAAACTAAATGTAGTGTTCTGGTTTTTTTGTTTTGTTTTGTTTTTTGCCAGTCATGGGGCTTGCCTGAACTCAGAACCTGGATGCTGTCCCTGAGCTCATCTGCTCAAGGCTAGCCCTTTAACACTTTGAGCAATAGCAGCACTTCTAGTTTTCTGGTGATTAATTGGAGATTAGAATCTCATGGGATTTCTTGCCTAGGCTGCCTTGAACCACAATGCTCAGATCTTAGCCTCTTGAGTAGCTAGGATTAAAGGCATGAGCCACCAGCACCCAGCTTTAGTGTCATTTTTTGAAGCTTTATGAACTTTTGATCTACGAGAAATGAATTACTACTAGTAAGTAAATTATCTTCTTTTTATTTTTGTCAGTTGTGGGGCTTGAACTCAGCCTGGCAAGGCTATGCGTTACCACTTTGAACCCCAGCACCATTACCAGTTTGTGAGTAGTTAATAGGAGATAAAAGTTTCAGAGACTTTTCTGCCCGAACTAGCTTCCATGGTGCTCAGATCTCAGCCTCCTGAGTAGCTAGGATTATAGGCGTAAGCCACTAGTAGCCGTCATAAATTATCTTTATGATTCTCATGCATGTTCTTCTTTTTCTTTTTTTTTTTTTCTTTTGCCAGTCCTGGGGCTTGAACTCAGGGCCTGGGCACTGTCCCTGAGCCTCTTTTGCTCAAGGATAGCACTCTACCATTTGAGCCACAGTGCTGCTTCTGGCTTTTTCTGTGTACATGGTACTGAAGAATAGAACCCAGGGCTTCATGCATGCGAGGCAAGCACTCCACTACTAAGCCACACTCCCAGCCCTCGTGCATGTTCTTATGGTCTTCAATGTAGAATTGGGTTCTGCACATTTCTTGACATGGAACCTGGAACTGTGGCAAAGAAATCTGGTTGTCTTTGGAGAAGTTGAAAATACACCCACTGTACTGTACTGTTACCCACAGTAACACTTGGTACCATGTTCACTAGATCAACTAAAAGCCCCTTTTTTTTTTTCCAAGCTGGAAAACACGTTTACTAACACAGAGCAAGCCCTTTTTAAAGCAAAAAAGAATGGGTGACTAAAAGCCCTTTAAACTGAATGGTTTACTCTGTTATCCAGAATTCTATCTTCACTGGAATTAATTCAGAGTTAATTAATTGTAACGGTTCATTACTGAGTTCTAGCAGTCCATTCTTTTCAGATATATGTATATACAAAGTTTTTTGATTAAAATTTTTTCATCTTAACTACAAAAATATTTTTCACACACAGGAGCTATTTTTGGAGCATTGCAGGACATACTTGGGAGCCGTTCTGTTTCAAAGGAATATTATAATCAGACTGGCCGCATACCAGACTGGTGTTCTCTCAACAACCCTCCTTTGGAAATGATGTTTGACGTTGGCAAAGCTCAGCCACCTTTGATGAAGAGAGCGTTTTCCACTGAGAAATAAATGTTTCGTTAAGATTCACCTGTGCTTTATTTCACACATTTACTCAATTACAAGCAAAGTGTACAAAGTATGTAGGCAGCTTTACTATGGGTGACCTTGGTAATGTGAAAGTACTTCTGTATTTGCATTTAATATTTAATTAACTTTATTTCTCTTTGTGTAGCGTGATAAAATGGTAGCTGGTGATCATGAGACTTGTATTTATATCAATAAAATTACTTATGCAGTTTAATTGTGGAAAGTTTTTTTTTTTGGGGGTCCGGTTGTGGGGCCTGAACTCTGGGCCTGGGCGCTGTCCCTCAGCTCTTCAGCTCAAGGCTAGAGCTCTATCACTTGAGTCACAGCGCCACTTCCAGCTTTTTTCTTTTTGCTTATGTGGTGCTGAGGAATCGAACCCAGGGCCTCAGGCATGCAAGGCAAGCGCTCTACCACTGAGCCACCTTCCCAGCCCTGTGGAAAGTTTATTATTGCATTGTCTGGTTGTTAAAATAGTAACAATGTTTTTGTACAACTCATATAATCTGTCCTGAGCTCTGGGATTCCATTAATTTTATTATTTTCAGCAATTACTTCATTTACACAGAGCTGGATGTGGCCTTGAGTAACAAAGCTCAGGGACAGAGCCTGGCCCCTGAGTACCAGCCTCAGGACTGGAGGTCAGATATGTCTCACAGGATGTGCCCACTTCTTCCTGTTTCTCTGACTTCATCTCGTTTTTCTGATTCATTCACTGTACAGCAGCTCATGGACATTAGCCCATGGGACCTTCTTGCTGCTCCAGAACATCAGCCATCCCTTCCCTAGGCCTCTTACCCTGATGGCTGCTTTTTCCTATATTACTTTTCTCCCAACCAGCCACATAGTTAGGCTCACTAGTTTAATCTTTGTTCAAGTCACAGACATTGAAGCCCAGGGCTGGGAAGGTGGCTCAGTGGTAGAGCGCTTGCCTTGCATGCCTGAGGCCCTGGGTTCGATTCCTCAGCACCACATAAGCAAAAAAAAAACCTGGAAGTGGCGCTGTGGCTCAAGTGGTAGAGCGCTAGCCTTGAGCTGAAGAGCTGAGGAACAGCGTCCAGGCCCAGATTTCAGGCCCCACGACTGGATCCAAAAAAAAGAAATTGAAACCCAACCTTAACTATCCTCTTCTAATTAGCAGCTACCTATTATCCACTTTACCCTGCTCACCTTTTCCATAGAAGGCACCAAACTTACTCTGCCCACCCCTTCCCACTCCTATGGAACTAGTTTTTGTTTTTTGTTGGTTGTGAGGCTTGAACTCAGTCAGGCCTGAGCACTGTCCCTCAGTTGTTCAGCTCAAGGCTAGCACTCTGCCACTTGAGCCGCAGTGCCGCATCCAGCTGTTTTATGTAGTGCTGAAGAATCGAACCCAGGGCCTCATGTATGCTAGGCAAGCACTCTTAACACTGAGCCACCTTCCCAGCCCTGGAACTAGGTTTTGGTCTGCAGTCAAATGCTCTACCCCTGAGCTATACCCCCTCATTGGAACTAGGTTTTGGAAAGGCAGCAAGCATCTCAAACACCTGTGAACACCTGACAGCTATGCGAAGCTAATGACTTAGAGAGGGTGTCCTTGTTTACTAGGGATGCCAAATACCACAACTTATGACACAAACCCTTTCTTGAATGAGTCATGCACAGGGCTGTGCTCACAAAAAGCTCCCTATTAGAACTTGCTGCCTGCCTTCCTCGGCTTCTGCTGTCACAGGCAATTCTTGGCATTCCTTGGCTTGTAGCTGCGTAACTCCAATATCTGCCCTGGTTCTCACATGCTCTTCTCCCTGGGCACCTCTCGCACATGGGGTTTTCCTCTTATAAGGATTCTAGTCAAACTGGATTGAGGCCCATTCTAATGACCTCATCTTGATTTGACCTCATCTACCACTTCCAAATAGGGTCCCATTCACAAGTAATAGATATTAGGCCTTCAGCATATCTTCTAGTGAGCCACACTTCAGTCCATAGCAAAGACTCACATTCCTTAACTTCTGTCAGTAGGTATCTGCAACTTTTCAGCTATGATGCTCTACTTGAGTCACAGATCTTGTTTTACCCTATGATAAGAATTTCTCAATAATCTAAATTGAACACAAGTCATTATGAATGCAAAGAAAAGTTGTCTTCTCACGGCCAGTTTTTGGGGGAACTAAGAGGTAGGACTGGGGTCATGGGGCTTGGACTCAGAGCCTGGGCTCTGTCCCTTAGCTTTATTATTCAAGGCTACAGACAGCTCTGCCACTTAAGCCACAGCTCCACTTCCGGTTTGGAGATGGTTAATTGGAGACAAAGTGTCTCACAAGAGCTGGGAAGGTGGCTCAGTGGTAGAGCACTTGCCTTGCATGCGTGAGGCCCTGGGTTCGATTTCTCAGCACCTCATAAGCAAAAAAGAAAAAAGCTGGAAGTGGCACTGTGGCTCAAATGATAGAGCGCTAGCCTTGAGCTGAAGAGCTGAGGACAGCGCCCAGGCCCAGAGTTCAGGCTCCACGACCGGCCCCGCACCCCCCCACCCCCCCCACCCCCCCACCCCCCGCCAAAAAAAAAGTAACAAATTTGTCTACTGGCACCAAAGATGATTCTCAGATCTCAGCCTCCTAAGCAGCTAGGATTACAGGTGTGAGCCACCAGTGCCTGGCTAAGATCTGGATTGTTCTAGATATTGAATGGGAGGCAAAGACTGGAGCAAGAAAAAACACTGACACTGCAGTAATCCAGGTGAGTGATGGTGCTAGAAGAAAAGGAGAGAAGCTTGAAGTGCATTTGCAAAATATTTGGAAAGAATTTCCTGAAAGATTTAATGGCAGTGTTTCAGTTTTCTATTGCTATATAGAAACCTAGTAGCTTGGGCTGGGAAGGTGGCTCAGTGGTAGAGTGCTTGCCTTGCATGCATGAGGCCCTGGGTTCGATTCCTCAGCACTACATAAGCAAAAAGAAAAAAGCCAGAAGTGGCACTGTGGCTCAAGTGGTAGAGCGCTAGTCTTGAGCTGAAGAGCTTAGGGATAGCGCCCAGGCCCAGAGTTCAGGCCCCACGACTGGACCCCCCAAAAAAAGAAACCTAGTAGCTTAAAACAGTAAAAGTTGGTTCTTGATTCTGTGGGCCAGATAAGGCTTAGTTGGGCATGTCACATGACATTCAGCTGGCAGTGGTTCACTAGACAGTATTCCAAAGAGGTGCTGGAATGAAAGGATTCAGGCAGCTTTGCTTCCAAGTTTGCAGGCTTGCACTCCACACAGATCTCCACAACGCCTGTTCGCAGATGGCTTACGCTTCCTCAGAGCATGGCGCTCTGAACCATTAGACGTGCTACCTGGCATCTTGCACCAAGTTCCATTGTGTAAGTCATTGTGTAAGATATCATCAATATTCTGCACATGTCATGCTTAGCCAAAATTAGCCACATGGCCAACCCACAGTCAGTGTGGGGAGTAGAAAGGGACCTGAGTCATTGAAGGACACTTTCAAATGGAGTTGGAGAGAGGAATCAGTGGCTGGCCAGATATTTGGATTTCATAACTAGATAGTATTGCCATCCATTCATTTTTTTAAAGGCAGGAAACCTCCCAGAGAAGCAAGGGTTTGGACAACGATCTAGAGTTAATTTTTTTCAGGGCTCTGTAATAGTAGCTACTCAAGAGGCTGAGATCTGAGGATCATGGTTTGAAGGCAGCCCAGGCAGGAAAATCTGAGACTCTTACCTCCAAGTGGAGGCTCAAAGTGGTAGAACTGTAGCTTTGGGCAAAAAAGCTCAGAGACAGACCAAAAAAAGTTAAGTCTCAGGGTTGTCAGAGTGGCTCAAGAGCCAGACCTCGTGTCTAGCAAGGAGAGCAAAGAAAGAGGCAGACCCTGAGTTCAATACCTAGGACAACCAGAGTAGGGAGGGAAAACGCCTAGTGAGGTAGTATAATTCTGGTCAACAAACAAGTTAGACATTTTAAGGGACAGAGATGTGAGTTCTCAGTAGAAATCAGGAATCCTAAACAGATAGCTGGTACTTGGTTAGAGAAGAGAAGCAAAAACTCGCCTCAAGAGCACTAAAGAGGTAGGAAGTAGCAAGGGGGAAAAAAAAATCAAAAAAGCCTCAGCAGTGCTAAGCCAAGGGGAGGAGTGCGTGTAGAAAGGAGTGACCAAATTTGTAACAACTTTCTCATGAGCCAATAGATTAGTTGTGACAACAATTCCACTCAGTAAAGTGGCGATCCATTGGCAACCCTTCCATGGGCAGTGTAGCTGACCAGCTCGTGGCAGTGGGCTGACAGCTAAGCCTCACTGCCATCACCGACTGAAGGGAGTGGGGAGTGGGAGCCCCCGCTCCTCTCTCACAAGAACAACCACTTCAGGCAGGCTGGTCACGGAGTGGTAATGGAGTGCCTGTTCACCGGCTGCAGCTTCATCCCTCCACAGGCTGCCCTCTGTATGCACAGGATTCCTTAAGGTCACACGAGTCGCACCGCACCCAGTCCTGAAGGAGAACCTGCTTCTTTACACCCTCCCTCAAATGATCCAACCAAAACCCCTAGCTGGTCATAGCTACTTTTTGAACATCCAATCATTAACTCAGACTCCCCCGCCCCCCCCCCCCTAATTCTCTGCCCCTCTAATGAGTAAAGGTGCAAATGTCCCACTACAGGTCTGTTTGGTCTTCGATTCTGCCTGGCGAGGAGCTGGCCGGAGAGGTTACCAAGCCTCCAGACGGGGCCTGACGTGCGCTCCGGCGAGAACAGAGAAGCCGATCGAAAGGTGTCTTTTAGGGCCCTGGGTCGAGGTTTGTATTTTAAGGTAAGTAACAGTATCTTCGTGTGTCGCGGGGAACGACTACAGAGAAATACATAGAAAGAGGCTGAAATACACGGAGCGGCGGCGGCCGTGGAGGGGCGGCTGCGCGGGGCGCGGGGCGCGGGCGGCGCGGGCGCGGGGCGTGCGGGGAGCGGGGCGCGGGGCGCGGGGCGCGGGAGCGGGGCGCGGGGCGCGGCGCGCGGGGCGCGGGGTGCGGGCGCGGGAGCGGGTCGCGGGGTGCGGGCGCGGGGCGCGGGCGCGGGGCGCGGGGCGCGGGCGCGGGGAGCGGGGCGCGGGGCGCGGGCGCGGGGCGCGGCGTGCGGGGCGCGGGGCGCGGGGTGCGGGCGCGGGGGGCGGGCGGCGCGGGCGCGGGCGCGGGGGGCGCGGGCGGCGCGGGCGCGGGCGCGGGGGGGCGCGGGCGCGGGGGGCGGGGCGCGCGGGCG